AAAACGAATTCCCGGACAACATGACTAAAAGACATCCAAAGAAGGAAAATATTTGGATCGAATGTCTTGTGTTCAGGTTCTTCAATTGGTTACTTTTTTTGGAAATAAGACCAGATAACTTCCTTGTAAGTCCTCATGGTGTTTTTGCATGAATCAAATAACTTAAGTAAAAGACCTCTGAGGGTTTTTATGTGGATCAAATAACTTGAGTGCAGAATCAATTCGTGTTTCGTATGGATCTAATAACATGAACACAACACTTCTAAGAGTACTATTAGATCAAATAACTTTCCTCTATTACTTCCAATACACAAATTTCCTCAAATTATCTCAAGTTCTTCTATATGGGCCGAATGACTTGAAAATTAAAAGAGGGGAAAATAAAATGTTTCCAAACTTAAAATATTTATAAAAAAATATTTTGATCAAATCGTGTAAATTATAGAGGCGGAGGATAATTGTTGAGGGTAGGGTAAAAATAGAAGGGAATTTCTCAATGCACCCTATACCCTGATTCTGGAGATGCATCTCCGAACGCACCAAATTCTGATTGAACATTAAAATATTCCAGAGATGCATATATGTAACAATTTGAAACACTACCATGCATCACACTCATAAGTCATTATAAAAGTTTATTGTACCAGAGATGCATCTATGTTAATTTTACAGAGACACATCTCTGTAACATATCAGAACAGAATGTTTCACATTATGTTTTGTTTACATGTATCCAGATGAAGATTAAACCATACAATCAATATGTAAAAAATTGACGTACATATATCTAGATTGTCTAAAAATATCATATATAAATAAACGACCAATAAATGTCAAAAACGTTGAGAACCATGATAAAGTAGCATGACGTCAAAATAAAATGCAATCCATAGTACTACTACTATATACTAACGAATTACTACGTATGTCGAACTATATTTTATCTGCCTCTTATGGCTCCTCTACCATCAACCCCCTCCCTCTAGCATTGTCTTCGATACATCAATGTCCCTCATGCCTCTGTCATGATGGTATCTAGGATCTTCCTCACATCAGACCCATTAGGGAAGATACATGTGTCAATGTCGACCTACACAATCTCCAATATGGGATGAAATCTAGAAAAAACATCCTCAACATGATTTAACCGTGCTTGTTCCTCCTCTAGTATCTCTTGATGAGCTAGCCTCGACGAATCTACTAAAGCAACATGCACCATGTATGGATGTGACACCCTAAAGAACCATTTGATATACCCGTTGACGTAGCTCTAGTCGCTCACAGCTATGGTACCCCATGCCTCATCCGGTACCAAGTGACTCTCATAATCATCAAACATGTAATTTATCTGCCTATGTGTCAAAGCAGGAGAAGCAAAGACAACAAGGTGTCTGGGAATGGTATGAGTGTAGCCGAACTGCCACATGACACACTTAAGCAGATGATGAGCAGTGAGACGTGATTCGCAAATCAACTATCTAGAGTATATCACTATCTCATCAAACAACCTCGTCACACGGTGATCGATATAGATGTTGAAGTCCATGTCCTCGACAACCAAATAACCAAGATACACACTAAAAGGCTCAATCGCCTAGTACCCTCTGAGCATGGAAAAAAAAGTAGCACGAGACATATCCTCAGAGTAAGTCGGTACACTTGCCAAGTCAGAGATGCACGGGAAGTGCTGGAGATATCCGGGAAGTGCTGGAGATATCCAAGCCTGAAATTAAAGGTTTGGAACACACAAATCATTAGTAATGGATTTGAAAATATGAAATGAAAATGACAAAGAAACATTAAAAGACTAATAAATATTACCGTCAGTAGTGTGATGCTTCCTGTGACCTGCTTCGTCTTCCACATATAGCCCTCTCTCAACTTTGAGTACAGGTAAAGCAAACAAGCGGCCCCCCAATTGTACTCATGGATCCGCTCGAAATCCTCGAAGTACCATAGGTAAATGACATTTGTATATGTGACACTCTTGTCCATAAAAATCACAATGCCAACCAAATATAACAGGTATGCTCTCATAGCATACGATCTGTAGAATGCCACTTGCTCATCATCACCTGTAGCCTTTTGTGTTATCAAGATCTCAACTGTATATATCTTTTTCAAGTATTCAAACCTAGCATGAGTGCCTCCAATTTAATCCAACTTCTCCCTCGCCTTTGTTGGGCCAACCCCCATATAATCTACCATCATCTTGAGTGCCTCGTCTTTGGTAGTCCTCCCATGATCTAGAAGTCTCACCCTGATCGGAATATGAAGCAAACACGAGACATCATCGAGTGTGATAGACATCTCACCAATCAGAAGATAAAAGGACAAGGTCTCTGAGTGCCATCTCTCCATGAATGCATTAAGTATCTCGCGGTTAATCGTGGTATAACCGATCATGCACAAGTCTTTCGGGCCAGATAAGAACAAAAGTGTATCAAACCAATCCTTATTCGGCTGAGGCAAACCAATAATCTTCTGCCAGTGGTTAATAAATTTCAATGGATCACAGTCCTGAAAAAATAAAAATCAATGTCAGAAACTTGTCAATTAAAATAAACGTAAATATAAAAGAATGAATCCAACTAATGCCATCTCCATCCCAAATATGCCTGGAAGTATGGTATGGGTATAGAGGCAACAATGCCAAATCTATAGGATCTCCTCCGAATTCCTTTGCCTCAACATTCGCAGCAGCCTCACCCTCAGGAGGCGTCATTGGCTCAACAACATCAACAGTGAGAGGTGACATTGGCTCAAAAGCATCTATAGTAGGTAGGTGAGCCCCGTCTCTTACAGGAAGAAGAAGATGAATAAGCATGCGGGGAAACACGAGCCCCAGAAGTAGATGGCTCTGCATGGCTATAGGTGAAGGTAGGAAAACACTTAGAAGGGGGGTTGAATAAGGGTTTTAAAAACAAATAAGGCAATAAAAATAACATGTATTTTTATACTGGTTCGTTTGAACTCAAAATACTCCAGTCCACCCCGCCAAGGTGATTGCGCCTCTTTCAAAAGAGGACTTAATCCAATAAAAAACTGATTACAATCTTTTCACTAAGACAAACTTGTCTTAGTCTTCTTGAGAATACTAACCACAACTTGGTCTCTCAAGGATCTTTTACAAAGAATACAATAAAGTGTGTTTAAGTGCTTCTTAGAAAAGCTTTTTCACAACAGTGATTTTACACAAATTGAAGATCAATGAAAAATATGTTCGTTGTAGAATGATGTTGTTAGTTGTTGTTGTATATCTTTTTAGAATTGCTGTTGAAGACTTGTTTAAATACTTCACACCCATTTCCCAAATAGCGTGCACATACACAAAAGAGGAATGTTCAGAGATATCCTTTTTGTTCTGAAATCCTGTGCCATACAAAAAAGAGGAATAATACCGTTGGATGTAGACAGTGAGTTTGCAACGGATCTTTCTTGATCAGTATCTTTTAAATGAACGAATATGGAAATATTTTCTGCATCATATCCTCTGGTGATGTTCCATTTTCTTCTTATCAGAGTAACTCTCTTCCAGAGTTCTGATGATGTTCCATTTTCTTCTTATCAGAGTAACTCTCTTCCAAAGTTCTGTAACTTAGTGCTAGCGTGATTGTTTTAAAAAACTGTTCATCCAGAGAAGCACTTAGATCAGAGCAGATCTTCGCTCTTACGTGTTATCCAAATGTATCACTTTGTTACTGACGTTTCAGATCCTTACGTGTTTTGATTCTCAGAGCCTCTGCAGTTGCAGCGTTGAGTTTAGTACGCTCATAGTCTTCTGAATTTTCACTTTATACTCTACACTCAGAGCCTTCTGTAGCTTCGCTTTTTACCAAACGCTCAGAGTCTTCTGCGTGTTGTAGCTTAACGTTCAGAGGAATATTCCGTTCAAAGGAATATTTATTAAGTTATCTGAAACAAAAACACTTGAACAAAATTAGAGTATATATTTTCTCCATACAAAATTTTATTATTGTTATCATCAAAACATTGAGATATATTAAGAACTAATATGTGTTCTAACAATAGGGACCAGGAGTTTTCGAAACCTATTGACTCTTCTCCCGCCACACCAATGTGTGCTGTGTAATCCTCCCGTGTCTCAATCTATCGTGTCTATCAGCCATTATGCCTATAAGTTAAACTAAAGCAAAAATTAGTACAAGCAAACAACACCACAAGAAAGAAAATCTAAAAAAAAACGTAACTGAGAAAATTCCAGAGATGGATCTTCGGAAGCTACGAAACTAAAATATTGAAAAATTCTAAAAACGCATCTTCGGAATTTCCTGCAACTAAATCCGCGTCAATGGCGCCACTGTACCCATGCAATCGCCAACAAATAATCCTTTGATCATCCTTTTCAGCAAAAAAAAAAGTGTTTTGCACTATGTGTAAACTATCATACATGCAATTTCTACTCATTTCTAACCTTAATAATTAATTTCTACTCATTTATACAAAACTCAAACTTATTAAAACATAAAAAAAACTTATAAATTTCCACTTTACTTCAGTGTTGGATGATGTTTTTGTTGTTGATTGAAGTTCCTTAGAGCTTTGTTGTTTGATTTTAGACTGGGCGATGAGAAAAAATTGAGAGTTTGAAGATGTTGTGAAAAATATAAAAAATGAGGAAGAAGAAGGGTTCTTGCACAATTTAATCTTTAAAATATTTTGAAAATGTATTTTTAAAATAAATTCAAAAATACATCTACAAAATATTTTTACATTATCTAAAACTTAACTACGTCTGAAGATACATCTCCAAAATCTAAAACCAGACGGTGCATTAAAAAGTTTTTAAAAAAAATGTTCTCTTTATTAAACCGGGTATAAGTGCGAAATATTGGAAAATATCCTGAACACGGCGTTTTGGATTTCGAAACCCCAGAAGAAGAAAAAGAGGCGAAATCAAAGGGAGAGTGCAACACTGAACACTCTCTTCATCTCTTCCTCAATCCCGCATTGCACTTCAATATCGATTTCTCCTAGAAATGCCTTCAGAAGATTCAAAGCCGATAAAAAAACACGACGACGACACCATTCCCACTGTCAAAAAGGTCACAAACTCCAACGCTAAACCTCATTCCAAGCTTCCAAAACTCAAAAAAGAACCCAAGGAAGAACCTGAACCCGTTCCTAATTCCACTTCAGCTTCTCGCTCAAAGAAAACGCAAGTTAAGAAGGAACTTAATGATTCCGACGAAGACGACGATAAACCTATCGCTAGAAAGGTCTCAAACACCAAGGTAGAAAATCGAGATTTTCTGACCTAGTTTTTGAAATGTTGTTTTATTGTTGTGTTTTTGTTGTGTTAGGCGGTGAAGGAAGTAAAGAAGAAGAAGAAGAAGGTGAAGAAGGAGGAGAAAGTGGTTGTTACAGAGAAGAAAGTGAGGAAAGAGAAGAAGGTTTATGATTTACCTGGCCAGAAACGAGATCCACCTGAAGAGGTTTGAATAATGATGCATTTGCATATACTTAATTACATTTTTATGTTTTGTTTTGTTTTGTTATGTTTTTTGTAATTGCTTTCTACATTTTTGTAATTTTTCAGAGAGATCCTCTTAGGGTTTTCTATGAGACTCTACATGAGCAAATTCCTAGTAGCGAAATGTCACAAATCTGGTGAGTTCTGAAAGGGGCTATTTTGTGCTGATGTTTCTCTTTTTCGATTTGTAATTTGTTAAGCTCTTCCCGTTTAGATCATATTTAACAATGTTGGGAAATGAATTAGCTTGATTACTAGACTTTGGTTTGTATGAAGAATACTATTGCGATGAATGTGAATTCGCACTTAGAAGCTATGAAGCACGAGCATATACACAACACTGGCATTTCGATACAAGTAGTAATATGAGAAAATGGTATAGTTGAATGTAACGACATGTATAAGAATCTTATTCCATGGTACTTATTTGGAATGTTGAGCAATTTCAAACCTTCTATTGCTTAAACTTTATTTAGGGTATGTTTGAATTGGTGGAATTTGATGGAATTGAATATAATGAAGTGGTTATAATCAGATTCCTTTGTTTGGATTTGCAAATAATGAATACAGTGGAATGAAGCATGATGGAATTCATTTCATTTCCTCCAATATGGGGTGTATGCAATGGAATGAACTAATTTGTTCTGTTCCGTTCCGTCCCGTCAAATTATAAAAAATACGCAAACGATGGAATGAAATTTTTGTTTCATTCCGCTTTGCTCCACTCGATTTCATCATGTTCCATTCTCGTTCTAGCCCATCAATTCAAACATTAAGGTCTCATCATATTAGTAAGCCTAATCCTCTGTAAAGTGTAAAATTGGTTTTAGTTATATACAATAGGGCTAACTATTAGACCCTTGGCTTTCTAGTGCACTTTGTACATATAATAAAATGCTCTTAAAGCTTCACGTGTAAGGTTGCATTATATGTTAGGATGTGAACATTAAACTCAGAAAGTATTTTTCTATCTTTTATAACACCAAGCTTGGCCTTGGACCCTGTAAATGTATCAAATTGTGTGTGCTAAAGTAAAGGTTACACATGCTATTATTTTCCTCACAGGGTTTTGTTTACAGTTTAAGGTAGTAATGAATGACTTGTATATAGGTAAACCAGAATCTAAATTCTCTCAAAGGATGGTTGAGATGGACAAATTTTTATTCTTGACCTGAAAACAAAACTATTTGAGGTTTAATCACATTTTTATGGAAGACAATTGAGGTTTTTTTACTTTTCTTTTGGAGATACATATTCACCAACATACCAACACTTAAATAAACATACACTGGCCATGTAGTTTCTAACCCAAAAACCTTGGAAGCAGTTGTAAATTGCATGCCACCACTATCAGGCTGTATGCATTTGTTTGACTTCGATTGTTCCTTACTATTGGATTTGCATTTCTCATGGTCAATGTTTCTAGATTTGACATCACTCTTTGCATCTTATATTTTATTTTGTATCCTTGTATTAAAGTTGGGAGCATGCAAATAATGGATATTTTGTTTGATTTGTTTACAATTGAAGGACTGAGCTCACCATACCAAGTGTACTATTTAACTTTTTGTTCCACAAGAGTAACATCCAACCATAAAAATATCCAACTTTTTCTGTGTATTCTCCATGACCCTCTATTATTAAGTTAATAAAGCTAAGACGATTGTTCATTTGCATTACTGAATGTTACTGCAGGCTAATGGAATCGGGCTTGCTTCCTAAAGAGGTGGCAAAGAAAGTATTTGAGAAGAAGCAAAAGAAAACTCGTCAACAGAAGGTCTCTTCTCCTGTTAAGTCTGTATCTTCTGTGAAGAAAAAAAGCACCAAATCTGTTACAACAACAACAAAAACAACCAAATCGGTTACAGTTAAGAATAAAAGCCCAACTATCCCCAATTCTTCCAGTAAAAAGGAGACAACGAACTCGGCATCGAAGCCGATCAAGAAGCGCAAATCTGAGTGTAACAGCTCTGAGGACGATGACTCCGATTTTGACATTGGTTCAGCTACAACAAAGAGGAGAAAAGTGGCTTGATTATAACAAATGCTATGCATTTTTTGCTGCTGACAGAACTTGTAAGGGGTGCATGAGGACTTGATGTTATTTAATTTTCAATGAGATTGCATGTTTAGAGTTTAGTTTTCAGCTTTGTGCTTGTGAAGTCTGCTGTAGACCTTTAAATCGTTAATCATGCAAACAATTCACCCTTTTTAAAAAAAAGGCATGTGGAACTTAGCAAAATGAATCTGTTGTATAATTTAAATTAATCTAAGTTTAATCCTTTATAGGCTTCAGAGCCACACCAATTCTCTTTTTTGTTAGAAACAATAAGCCTTCATCTTTCTGATCTTGGCTCCTAGCTTCCTTTTCATTTAGTGAGTGATTAGACTCTTAATTGGAAAATATGCCGAAATAAAATTTTGAAAATTTTCCAAGGGGCAGTTTGTCATTGATAACAATTTGAAGTTTTTGTTTAGCATTGATAACAATCTGAAGTTTTTCATCTGAGGGGCATACCTTCATTTATGATTTCATGAGAAATTTTATGAATTTTGTGGCTTTGGGCTTTCAGAGACTTTTCACCCACCATCTTATAGTTCAAGTAGCTGATAACATATTTCTTTGCATCCAGATCTTTAGTATCATATTTTTTTTGCAGAGCTTCCTGTACTTGATTAGCAGTCTTGCAATTATTGTAGTAATAATACATATCGTCAGCAAGGATGTTCAAAATGTGATTTTTGCAAAGATAATCATTACCTTTTCAGATGAAAATCTCTTTCTTGAGCTATAAATCATCTGCCTCCTCAGTCTGAGCAGAAGAGTCTAATTCAGACGAGTTGAGAGTCCTGTATGAATTCACAATTGTCTTACCATTAGTTAGTTCAGTTATTCTAGAAGGAGCAATAGGGATATTCTCAGTCAAAACAAGGGAAACCTTGTTTAAAGTTAAGAAAAGTTTCATCTTAGTTCGCCAACGTTTCAAGTGAGAATTCTTAAACTTAAATAGTTTGTCAAAGACAAAGGCCATATGACATGCATTGCTTTGAAAGAAGATGAAGATTATTCATCTTTGAATACAAGTTCAGAGGAAGAAGTATCTAATATTTGTTTGATGGTACGACACAAGCAAAGAGACATGAAAGTAAGTGATTCAGACACACATTATTTACCTTATTATAATGAACTATTTGAACCTTTTCATGAAATGCATGCTGAAGTCTTAAAAGATTTTAAAAAAATTTCTCTAAAAGAAAATGATTTTGAAACTTAAGAGAGAAGTCTTAAAACTTATTAAAACTTAAAAGTGTTTTATAATCCTTGAAAACGATCATGCATCTCATGTTAATGATCAGTTATGCATCTCTAACACTTTAGGAAAAAATGTAGTTGTAGTTGTGTGTGATACTTGTCATAGATTAAAACTTGAAATGATAATTAACAAACATCTACAAATCACTGAGCATTACTTATATGTTTCCAAATGATAAATGGAAAAGTTTTAGAAAACCTAATAAAAAATCCTAGTTACTAGAAAAAATAGAAAAAAAAATATTTCTTCTAAAGTAATCTGTCACTATTTTTCTTGAAAGGCAAATAGGTATATATACAAAATAGAAGAAAAAAAATACCAATCAAGAGGGGAAACCTTCATAAAAAACCCAAGGCACTAGGAAGTACCCAAAAAAGGAAATAAATACAAAGCAACATGAAAAACACAAGAAAAAGATAACCCCAAACACGTAGAGAAACAAGACCCAATAACACACAACATAGATCACCGAAACACCCAAAACCAAATAGCAAAAGAAATGAACTAGATCTCAGACCACCAGATACACCATAAACAACAAAAGAGCCCCACAAGCAACTCCAAAACCACTAACCAGAGGAGTTGCAGGCCAAACCACTATTAGCTCAAACAAAGGATAAGGTTTTGAAGCCAATCCGAGAAGGAGATAGAGTTCAATGATGACCTATTAAGAAACCAAGTCCAGAACAAATGAATACTCTTATTCTCCACCTCTTTTACGTTAGAGGATGACCCATAAAAAATCTTATCATTATGCACTAGCCAAATAGACTAAATCAACGCTTGCAAAATCATAATAAAACCACCCATATTTTTAGACCTCCTTCCTAACGAGTGCACAAGCTCAAAAAGACTCCCTGTCTCCCTAGGAAGGACTACCTGAAGCCCTAACCACCCAAACACCCTATACCAGATAGCGAACGAGAAATTACAAGTAACAAAAAATGGGATACCGACTCCAACCAATAATCACAAAAACTACAAGAAACAACACTAGCTCTAAAATAACCTCCCGCTTGAAGAGATTTTCTTTAGATGAAAATTGATCTTGTAAAACTTGTCAAGAAAAAACTGAAACCTTGGAAAGGGTCCAACTCTCCTAAATCATAGGGAAATTAGGGTTCCTTACTAACAAGGATATCTCTAGAGGATCCCAAGAGTCCACCAGAAACTAATAGGTAGACGAAATCGGGAAAAAACCATATCTAGAATGCCTCCAAACCCAACTATCCATCTCCTAGGAAAGATACTCCTTTACACCAGGATGAAATCGAACTAGATTCTAAGACATGGACCCCATCCAAGGAGGAAACTCCAGAAAGACCATATCTAGATATCAGGATATCAACCCATAGACCAAAGATATAATACATAAGATGCCATTTTCATTTATCTAGAAGAGCGAGATTAACAACCCAAAGACCATATCTGTAAGCCGAAGGCTTCACAAAAGGTTCCGACTTCTTTTCTAAATCTAGATTGTTCAGATCCATATTTGGATTGGATTTTGAGTTCAGAACAAAGTGAGAGACCTTCCTTTTTGATAAAACCAAACAGTTGGCCATATGTGATTTCTTTGAAGTTTATCTCAGTAAGTTCTGGGGCTTCTTTGAGATTTTGATGGATTATTTCTCCAAAGAGTTTAGGGAGGCCAACAATAAATATTTCTTTCCAGAATGATGCATTGCAATCTTCCCTTTTAAGAACACGAGTAAGGAAGACAACTTTGTACCACCTATAATCAGATAGTGTTGGACATCTTAGGTTTGATAGGATAGTTTGAGTAGCGGCTATCTCTTCTTGAGGCTTTCCTATGAAATACATTCCTATGGTGATGATAAGGAAATCTTTAGCGTCATACTTTTCAACAAGATTTCCATCTGTGTTTTTATGGATGTAAGTATGTTAGAGGATATTTTGCTTATCTTCTAAAGACATTGAATAATCCCACCAATTCTTTAATTGACCAGTAAACCCAGTAACAATTAAATTTGCAGCAGTAGGTTCATTAATGCTTTGAATTTGATAGGCACATCGGGCCATACCTATTTCTTAGAGAGTATTGAGTATCTCATATTCGTCTTTGCCTATGTTCCATTCATGAATAGCATGACCGTCAAACTTAGATGATTTGAATTGAGATCTCTCCTCAAACTACATATCAGGAGGAGTGGGTCTATTGTAGTAATTTTTCCTTTCGAGTTAAAGCGTATGCGATTTAATGCTTGGTTTAGGTTAGAGGTGCTAGCCTAAGAATCAGAATTTTGAGCTTTGTCCGCCATATCAAGTCTCTACAAGAAGAGGTTTTTTATTCCAAGATTGACGATGATCTTAAAAATGAAGATCTTCAAAAAAGAATTATTCAGCTAGATCGTAAATTCAGACAAGAAGTTTGTTTTGATTCTCCTAATACCTTTTGGGATATAAATAAACATGTTGTTTCTCTTCCTTATATTCCTAACTTCAATCAAAGATCCATTCCCACCAAAGCCAGACCTATTCAAATGAATCACGATATTCTCAATACTTGCAAAGAAGAAGAATTTCTATAAATATTATACCAGTATCAGGCTCTGATACTAGTAGGGAAATGGAAGTAGAATGCGCAAAATAAAGTATACAGACATGATATATGAATGAACAATATAAAGGAGATTCATCCTTCCAATGAATGATATGATATGAAATAAAGTAAAAAATATAAAACTAACAAGTAAGTGAAAATTAAAAAGAAGATCAAGAACGTTGGCAGAGCCAAACGGGACTTAATAAGATAGAGAGTATAGGAATAAAATGTTACAAAGAAATAAAATTTCTTAATTTGAAATCTTGATTACAAACTTATGAAAATAGATGAAGAAAGTTGCAAAAGGATTCTTGAGAGTGAGGAACTTAAATTCTAACAAGGAAGAGAATTTGGGGGTGATAGGTTTTTGTTGGTAAAAACTTGTAATGAGAAATGCAAAAGAAATGTCTACTTATAGGAAAAGAATAATTGCCAAGTAAACTAAATACAATAAACATTTGAAATCCACAAGATGAAATGCAATACTTCTTCGAGTTCGTCTTGATTGATATGATTATTTGAATGTTTACTGCAAAAATTAGTAAATAACCGATGGTCTCCGAATAACGGTTAACTTACAGGTTCAACCAGTGAAACTTAGGACATGTGCTACTGTATTCTTAAATTAAAGTTAGAAAATTAACGAATACTTCGACAACCTTCATATTTGAAAGATATTATAATTTTGACTAAAGAAATATGTTGCAAGTAAGAAATTAAAAAGATACTGTAAAACACATCAAAAAACAAGAACATGTGCAATAAGGAAAGATAAAAATTCTGGACAAAAATTGTAAATTGAATTTGATTAAATTGCAAAAGAAAGGTGTTTCATCAGACGTACATTTCTCAACAAACCCGTTTCTCTATTCACTGGTACTTTGAGTAATCTAAGTAATTTGTACAGACTTGATCACACATCGATCCTATCACTAAGACCTATAATTTATATTAAATCAAATTAACCGTTTCCAACGGCCTTTCTCCTAAAATGCAACAAGTGGAACTCGATATGTCTTCACTCTTTCAATGCGCTCAACATGTCTTCTCTTGGAACTGGATAAGAACAAGGTTCCCTCCTTTATTCAAATCGAAGATCTCATCAAATGGCCTTCTCGTCGAAATACACCTTCAGACTTAGAAAATTCCTTTAAG